GGGACTGTTGTCATGGTAACGCGTGTACGCGGGCTGTGAAGCGCCCTACAGTACGCGCTAAAACACCCGGGAAAGACCCCGTTTACAAGCACCATTTCACCTGACAACACCGCATTCGACTGAGACACTGCACGCTACAGCGGAAATCTTTCAGTACAACATCCATTCCAGCAGTAGAGCATCTCATGTGCGGCAGTTAAAGGGAAAGGAGTTTGTTTCTTCAGAGATGTCTGCACTGAGTGACTCTGGCTTTGAGGAAGATCTTCACACTTCTCCAGCAGCGGCTTCAAGCGTCAGACTGACCTCAGACCTGCAGGAGTGTGACTATGAAGAGAGCTGCTTCATCATCCAGAGACACAATGAACTGCAGTTTCTAGCGCAGAACTGCCTCGCGCGACAACCGCAGGTCAGAAATCACACCTTCAATATTATTTGTATTATTAAAAGAAACGAATGCTTCTATTCAGTAAGGAATTGATTAAAAGTGACAGTAAGTACATCTATAATGCTACAAAAAAATTCTGTTTCAAATAAATGCTGTTCGTTTGAACTTTATATTCATCAAAGAATCCTGAAAAACTCAATGTGCAGTTTCCACATAAATATGAAGCTGCACACTGATAATCAGAAATGTTTCTTGAGCAGCAAATCAGCTTATTAGAATGATTTCTGAAGGATCACCTGACACTATATATTGGTTTGGTGTATACATATGAGTGAAATTTGTATTTTTGTGACAACTAGCCCCTATTATTGTAGATTTTTTTCAATAATTTTTACATGAATATTTAATTTCCTTACAGATTACAGCAGAGGCTCGCAGTAAACTGGTCAGCTGGCTCATAGCGGTACACAAACAGCTCAAACTGTCTTTCGAATCATGCTGCTTGGCTGTTAATATCATGGACCGTTTCCTGATCACAACCTCAGTAGCTGCAGACTGTTTCCAATTACTGGGAGTGACATCTCTGCTGATCGCCACAAAACAGGTGCAGCGATTGTTTACTTATCACTTTCATTGTAGTTATAAAAAATAGCACAGAGTTAAGAATTATTTCTGGCAATACTGAAGGTGCACTTGTAGTGTATCTTAAAGGGGTCATTACATGGATTTTTAAAAATTATTTTAATATGTTCCTTGAGGTTTACTTATAATGTTAATAAAGTGCATTAGTTTAGTGCATTAGTAAGTGTTTTTTTGCAAAAAACAAATAATTATGTATAAAAATGACAACCCTCTTGTCTAAAAATGACCTGTTTTACTGACACTGGAAACTCGAGTGATGATGAAATTTCAGCTTTGCAGCACAGGAATAAATTACATTTTACATTATATTTATATAGAAAACACTTATTTTGAATTGTAATAATATTTCACAATATTTCTGTTTTTACTATATTACAGCTCTCATGTCCCCATGTTGAGAGAAATCAGAAGATGTTACTGTAGTTCTAAAATAAATATGAATATGGTGCACTTGTAGTGTATCTTAAAGGGGTCATTACATGGATTTTTAAAAATTATTTTAATATGTTCCTTGAGGTTTACTTATAATGTTAATAAAGTGCATTAGTTTAGTGCATTAGTAAGTGTTTTTTTGCAAAAAACAAATAATTATGTATAAAAATGACAACCCTCTTGTCTAAAAATGACCTGTTTTAAGGGGCGTGTCCTTTAAGGCTTCTCAGTAAATGGCCACTGTTATGATTGGCTAACGTCATTACATAGCAAACAGTTTCAACGCCCCCTCATTGCATGTGTGTTC